CCTGCCGGGCGGACGACGAGGCGCGGGGCCTGGCAGCGCCTCCTTCCGCAACTTATGTCTCACCTGTCAGAGAGAGAGTCATTTCTTTAATTTCTTTAATACACAATTTCCAACAAAAAATATGGAGATGAATTGCTCCCAGTTATGTTCCATTTGTGTTCCCCAGGTGCTACATGAGTCGCTGACTAATAACTTGACCAATAACTAATAATTTCATACCTTATCATTGACGGTGGGACAAAGCTGAATGACAGTGAAACGGTAAGCCACCACCGGCAGACTACAGAGGAGCGTTGTCAAGAGTATAATCAGCCACACATTAGGCTGGTTCAGAGAGTTCCTCGCTGTACCTGCAGCCCCAAACCAATTGGTAAAAATGTCACAACAGGATACAACCGTTTTTTTTTTGTTTGTTTGTTTTAAACTATGTACTACTTCTTATATTACCGGTATAACATGAAAATTAGCCTCGCGTGATTTCTGCAGTAAGCTGCAGCGACTTACCGATAAAGGGGAATGCGGAGGTGAAGATTAGGAACATGCCATTGCTGAACATGGTAAACGTGGTAGCAAAGTAGACTGCAAGGCTGCCCCACACAAAAAACTGGTTCACAGCTGTCCAGTAATGGGTGTCTAGACACAGCTGGGACATGTTGAAAGTACATATAAATTACATATTTATTCATGAACATATTCATTTGCACTGCGTATACTAAGACAGGGTTGACTATATGAGACTACAGTATTTATGATTGGTGTGCAACATTGGCTAAATGGAGTTAGATGAAAAATGATGAAAGGAAAAGCGTATTCCTTACCTGGATGCTGACCACGACAAGCAAACACGTCTGTGCCAGTAAAGCAAAGGACTGATAATCCGCAATGTCTTTGCCGTCGTCTCGGACTGTGTCATGCATCGCCGCCCATGGAATGAAGAAGAGGATGAGGGAGCTGTAGCAACTGTGCATCATGCAACGGACAAATAATTTCTTGTTGAAATAAGTGTTCAGAGGCCCAGGGGAGTAGAGCTGCGGATACTGGAAACTCCAGCGATCATTCACATCCTTTGAAAAAAACGAAAGGAGGAGAAGAGAAGCAACAAACTCTTACATCTGATCTTACTGTATTATGCAGACATACCTAATGTAGTGTCCTGTGATTGATGCGTACCTGGTCAAAAAGACTCATTCCTAGGACAGGGAGGGCTGTGTACACCAGGTTGTACATGGTGATGAACCACTCGTCATACACAGTCTATGAATTATAACAGCAAAAGGTCAACATTGATAATATTAGTATATAAACCAAAATCTGTGACCGGTAATCGCATTGTGGCACAGGGGTTAAAGTCATCAGATGAGCCTAGGAGCCTATTATGTTGGGGCTCCCTGAGTATGCCCCCTGCATCCCATTGCAAATTGGACCACGATAAAGACTTATAAGGGTGATTCAAAAGATTTCTGTGGATAATGAAGGATCAATGAAGCTTCATGAAGCACTTGCGATTATTTTTTGACCCCTCTAGATCGCATTCTTGGTTTCCATTGCACTAGATCTTATCTTTAAACCAAGTGCACCATCTCGAGAAATGGTCATGAAATACCAAGTGCTTCATGAAGCTTCATTTTCCCATCACTAGATAATACTACACAAAGGTGCTGTACCCCATCTGGACAGGCGGCACTGAGGCCTCACACCCAGGACTGGCAAAGAGATCACGGGTCAGTGCCCAGTGATCATGTTTTCACTCAGAGAATCTGGCAGAGTTCAGCCACTTGGGACCAACTCCCCTTGTTTTTAATAGCAGGAAAACTGGAGTATGGTGCTATTTAGTGGAGTGGTTGAGCGGAAGCTGACTTGGTGGTCTAGTTTTCTGTTGCCCACTCTATTGTACATCTTGGAGTCTCTTGGCATGGGATCTGGAAGGTATTCTTTGTGTGGGTGCCATGAACTTCTAGGACTTGTACAGTATGCCCACGTTTGCATAGTGGAGAGGCATGACATTTCTACAAATCTGCAATAATTTGAGTCCATTAACTGTATCGTACGGTCACAATACGGAAACGGCCATCATTTGTAGTGCACAACAAGAGTCATCAACTTAAAGCTCTTGAATGTCCCTCACCTGTGCAGAAAAGCCACAGAAGAAGGCGTACCAGAAATGTACGAAGGTGAAGGTGAAGTTCTTGTAGAAGAAGTACTGTAGAAACTTGCACATGCGCAGATATGACCAGCGCCCGTGCACCAGCAGCAGACGCTGCAAATAGCGGAACTGGGCAAAGGAGAAGTCACTGGACAGAACGGCCTGCATGCCCTCCTGACCACTGATGCCGACACCAATATGTGCAGCTGGAAGACAAAGAGCAATAAGGCCAAAAGGATGCTGAGCTTTTCTTAGCGCGGCTGTCAGTGAGTTTACTGACCCTTGATCATGCTGACGTCGTTGGCCCCATCCCCAATAGCCAAAGTGACCGCCTGTTTGTATTTTTTCACCAGTTCAACAACCTGGGCTTTCTGTAGTGGGGTGACCCTGCAGCAGATCACGGTTTGGCACATGCATGCCGTCCTTAATAGTTCCAATTCCAAGCCTTTCTCTAAGGCAAAGGCCTGAGGAGCAAGAGGAAGATGAGGCAAAGGAAGTCAAATCTTCCTTCTTTGTAAAATGTTTTTGGGATTTCACAAATATAAGGAGGGTGAATGCCCACTTACCAGACTGTGTCCATTTATAACAAGTGCATATTCCCCATCCACTTTGTCATCTTGAACAGTTTCGGTTCTTTGCAACCACAAGAGGCCTGAGCGAGCTTTGGTCACTTTTGGTTCTTTTGCTGCCGTCGGACACATTTTCTTTCTTGCACTTCTAAAAACAGAACAATGCAGAGATGGAGATATTGCTCTTTTGTGGAGCGCTTTTAGTTCATGATGACAGTGCTTGACTAAATATGTCATGCTCAATATAATATGCAGCAACTTGAGATTTTACATACTGAAGCTCCTCTTTGACTCCTTCTGCTGTATTTGCGGACACGGTGAAAACGTCCTTCATTTCCTCTCGCAGCATGTTGCAAGAATAGCCAATATTTTCTGCCGTCTCTGGCAGAAAGCAGAATTTGCGAACATGAATTTATGAAATCACACAAAAAAATAATAAATTGTTGTATGTGGCAGAAAATAACCTTGTTTATCTCCGGTCAAAACCCAGATTTTGATGTCAGCTTTGGCCAGCTGCTCTATTGTCTGAGGCACACCATCCTGCAACTTGTCTTCCACTGCCGTTGCTCCCAGAAGCTAAATCAAATGGTGTTAAACAAGTAAGAATATGTCTGTGAGACAGAAGTTTACCATTACTATCTAAAGAAGATTGTCTTAAAAGGAAGATGCCATGTAAAAGAACCGATTTGACCTCAGCTGCCTCTGTCATCATATGTCAGACAGCAGTCAAGGTTTTAAGCAAAGTCGTCAACCGGTGAACCGACCAACAAGTCTTTCTCAATCTCTTCATACAGCTCATGAAGTTTCTCGTCTCGTTCTCCGATGGTGGTGCTGGCCTCATGGTGGCGCCGCATCCACTCCTTCACATAGCTCTCGTCCAAGTCCTTGTAAGCCAGAACCAAAGTGCGGAGACCATCACCTGCGTATTCCTACAGTTGGGGTTGAAAAAAGCTATTACAACAATTGACTATCCATTTCGGAGAAAATAAACCTTACATTGAGGTGTCCGGTGGTGACACACTTGAGTGCGGTACAGCAGGTGTGCAGCCTCTCGTAGATGACGGTGTCTGCCCCTTTGCAGTAAAGAGTCAGCCTCCCTTCAGGGTTGCGCACTGGAAGTCACAGCGAGGAGGTGAAGTTCTCGATGAGTGATGCAGACACTCAGAATCAGACAATTCAATCTTCAACTAAACAAACTACCATGTTTTTGGAATGTGGGGAGGAACCTCTAAACCAGGGTGTCAAACATACGGCCCGCGGGCCGGAACCGGCCCCCAAGGAGATTCAATCTGGCCGGCAGGAAAATTTAAAAGTGAAAAAATGTATTAAAGACACAGAATGAATATTTTTAATAAAATGCAATTCATGGATTATCCGCTCGGGGCAGACCGTTTTGATCAGAGTAGAAGACAACATTGTTTTGATCAGAGAATAAAACAGCAGTCTCAATCTGTCCCTGAGACAGACCCAACACAGCAGATGCTATCAATGCGCCAATGCTTCTTTATACCAAAACAAAGGAAAGACATGATATTTTGGTTATTTACAGCAAAGTATGGTATAATGTTAATGGTCTGCCCCAGGATATTTTGGTTATTTATAGCAAAGTATGGTATAATGTTAATGGTCTGGCCCAGTTGACATCTACCGAGTCCGTATGTGGCCCACAATGTGAAATGAGTTTGACACCCCTGCTCTTAACTATGAGGCGGATATTCTCGAGTCCAAGTTAAAATTGAGTCCTATGAACTCTCCACAGAAAGAGGTCTCACCTATGACTGACATCCTCTTGCGCACGTTATTGAAATCTAAAACAGCCAAAAGTTCATAGATGACTAGCGTGCCCAATTCCTCCACTGTGACGGTCTCTGGGGTGCGTGAATGGAACACAAAGCCAAAGTTTCTTGCAGCGGTGACCAGAGCACCTTCATCCGGGGACTGAGCCTGGTAATGTAGCTCCCCTTGGAGGAGAGCGGATAGAACATCAAACATGGGTTTTAACAGTAGACCATGCAGTGAGGAAAAGTTGTCTGACCCTCTGTTTTTTCCTCGGGCATCACTGTGTGGCACAGAGCCAACAAACGGAAGAATTCTTGAGCCTCTGAGTTGCCATCCCTGACAGTGTCCACCAGATTGTGGTCGTGAAAAATGAACTTTGGATCGGCTTGCTGGTTCCACGTGAAATCGACCCTCGGTGTACTCTACAGGAAAAAAGACGAGTCTTTTCAAACTGAGATGTGCCGAACCTTGAAAAGGCAGGTTTGTCGGAAACTTGACTTGTATTACAGGGGTCCACAAGCACCAGGCCTTGGACTTGTACCAATACATGGCACATTTGCTTTGGGGCCCGCAAATGTGCCATGTATTGAGAGCCTCATGACGATCAGAGTGTGAAAGAAGTTTTATTTTGAATATTAGGTGCAAATCCCAGGTGGATTTGCACCTAATATTCTTTCTGTTTCTGTCAAAACACCCATCTCAGTTATGCCCGCAAGCTAGCAAAAACAAGAACCAAGCATTTTTTGAAATGGGGGTGGGGAAGGCCAAACAATTAGACAATATTGGCTTGACTGGCTTGTTGAAGAAGAAAAAAAACGCAGAGCTGCCTTTAATTACAACAACTACATTGTATTGTTCATCACTTGTTTTGACTTGGTTCTATATCGGTCCCGTAAAATATGGCTTGACATGAAACCACAACAGTGGTGCGAGTTTGCTGTTGTATTGAATTTGATTTGCGGGTGTACCAAATGATGCAATCCCTTCAAACCATCTCACCTCTGTTACTTCAGTGCTCTGTCCTGAAAAGTCCAAGAGCTCCCCTAAAACAATTGAACACCCACAACATCAATATTTGAGGGTATTCATTTACTGTATGTGTGTAGCTTCGAATATCCTGCTCACCATAACGTTTGCCATTGATCGAGCACTTATTGAATGTCATGATGTTCTGCGTCAGGGTACCGGTCTTGTCGCTGAAGATATATTTGATCTGACCCAGCTCTTCATTCAGAGTGGTGGTCCTCGCCTCAGCCGGAGTGTCACTCTTGGGGTAATACATCTTCCTGTCCCAGTCAATGTAAAAACTATTCACCAGACGGATGGCTTCCACGCTGAAAAGAAAAAGGGTCGTGTGATGCAAACTGACAGTGTCGTAATTAATCGGCGTCACGAAATACCTGACAAAGAGAGACATGGGCACCACCGTGTTCAGGAGAATCACATAAGACCAGAAGCAGAGGAATGATGAGAGAGGAGCATCGATGCCTGGTTCTGAAGGGAGGAACACAGTGAAAACGGAACCCTCGGACATCTCCCAAATGGCATGGCCAATGGCCAGAACGGAGCACATGGACAGCAGGAAAACAAAAATCTGATCGGTGAAAGAAAAGAGCTTATGAAGCGAAATCTGCCCACCAGGTCATTCATTGCGCTGGCCGACATAACTTTCCTGACTATAATTCAACTTTTTTTGCTTCTGACAAGTAAAGGCATGATTGGAACTCACACAAAGCACCAATATGTTCATGAGGTGATCAATGCTCGTCCTTTTGAATGTTGTCTTTCCACTGTTCTGTATCAACTTGGTGTCTGGACCTACAAAAGTCGAAACTCATGTTAAATTGATCTCATTGTGACACATGACACATGTTCAGAAAAATTGCAAAGTCAAAATTTGACCAAAATGTTCAAGGGAAAAATTAATTTGTGATCTTCATTTACCTCCAAAGATAACTAGTCCAAAGCACCACTCTGTATTTCTCAGAGTGCATCCACGCAGAAGCACTTTGTCATTGTCCAAAGAATATGTTTGTCCATTTACTGTGAGTGTCCCTCTAAAAATTTCCAGACGATTGTTTGGAGGTTCACATTTAATTTCTCCTGGGAAACAAATGGGGTTATGTTTGTGCACATATTTGGAAAAGTCAGAACATGACCAAAATTGCCCACTGAAGTTCTCACCGTTGAAGCTGGACAGTGCTTCAGTGTCGTCTCCCATCGCTCCAGTGACAGTCAGTGCCTGTTTCACCTTCAGATTGGTTTCACTGGGGGACCATGAGCACATTAGATTCCAATCATCCTTCTAATGATTAGACCCTCTAACATTATACTGGTGTTTGACAATGGCATGGTCCGCTGGGTGAGACTTCACCTCCGCCATAACCCTAACGATGGGAAGTAAATTACAATATGGATGGAAGGATGTTCCCAAAAAAAATTGTGCTAAGTATCCTGTGCTGTGGGGTTTTTTTTTTTTGCGTATTAGCATTAGCATTTCTTTGCTTCTCGATTAGATTCCTTGTGTCGTTTTTGTTTGTTTGGCATCTTTCCTCTTCTGTGGCTCCATCCATCAGCTTTTGTTATTAGTATCCTCCGAAATATTTATTCGCAGTAACCTTTGGTCGTTGCCGTTTTTCATTTTGTATTCAGGGGTTGCTTCTCACATTGCTGCTTTTATAAATTCTGTTTTATTGCTCTACATCGAGTCTGCTTTGGAGTCGACGATTTTGCATATTAGCCTCCTTGACACTAATGTATATATCCATCCATCCATCCATTTTCCGATCCGCTTCATCCTCACAAGGGTCGCGGGGGGACCTGGATCCCATCCCAGCCGTCTTCGGGCAGTAGGTGGGGGACACCCTGAACCGGTTGCCAACCAATTACAGAGCACACAGAGACGAACAACCATCCGTGCTCACACTCACACCTCGGGACAATTTAGAGTGTTCAGTCAGCCTACGATGCATGTTTTTGAAATGTGGGAGGAAACCGGAGAACCCGGAGAAAACCTACGCAGGCCCGGCCAGGGAACATGCAAACTCCACACAGGAAGGCCGGAGACGGGATCGAACCCACGACCTCTGCACTGTGAGCTCGACACGCTAACCACTGGCCCACCGGGCCGCCACTCGATATATTGTCTCTAATTATAATAATGTGTACATTGTTGAATATATGACATTTAATAAATTATGATCTTCAACTGATGTGTGCGCGCAGACACACACATGTAGACACAAACGGACAATAACCCTTACACAAATTCAAATTAATACGTATAGGACATACCCGTCTAATTCAGCCGTTTTAACATAAACCACATTGAGAGGCTCACTGCTGGAGAGTAAAAGAAGGTCTGCCTGGAAAACAAACATGCATCAAGAAAATAGCAGAACACCAAATAGGCCACTAAAAAAAGAATAAAAAGTGATTTTTGCGTTATCGTGTAATGCGGTGGCACTTACTGTGGCAAAGTGGTTATTTTCCAGTTTGACTATATCTCCAACGTGAACATTCATCCATTTTTCAGTTCTCAGTCTGACAAAATGAAAGCATCGGGACAATATTAAAGCAAGCACTTCACTCTAACAACTAAGTGTTCTAATTTCTCATGCAATATTCACAGAAGATTTGAAAAGAGCCAAATGACTCACTCTCCATCAACGAGGACGCTCACTTCACGGTTATTCACCTGGTTGTCACTTTTGTGTCTGTTCTGTTCATAAAATACGAGTCCAAACATAGAAGAGTATGATGTTGCTGTTTTCTTGCTTTAAAAAAAAAAATCGGTATGTTATAATCTGCTCACTATGTCATCGGAGGCATCTTTGACCGCCGTGATGGAGAGCACCAAAATTAGAAGAGCGGCTGTGGTAAACCAGGCGAGCGAGGAGATTTGTGGGATGAGCTGTCAAAAGACACGCACATGCAAACACACAAAATTAGAATCAAACGCAATCATTGCAACATCAGATGGCAAATATATGATGTATTTCAAAAGGGGGTATATTTTCATACAGTGTAGACTTAAAATAAATGGAATCTTAAAAACTGCATGGGACTTTTGAGGCCTGTCGTATCTTAAGCCCACATCAAGAGCTGTATTGCAGTATTAGAAGAGCAACTGAAAACAAATCTGAAGTCTACCTGAAGTGTAAAGAGGAAGAGGAAAAAGCAGTTAGCGAGCCTCCTGAACTGCTCGAAAAGGTTCAGCGGCAGAAAGGTGAAGATGTTGTATTTGGATGTCTTGATGGCATTATCCTGAAGAAGGAAGAAGTCAAATGTGAAAATAAACTAAAATAAAATAAGTGCATTGTGATTTCCTTTGTACTCACAGCATAACGGTAAGAAAGGTTGAACGCTCTGTCATTAGCTCGCAATCGTCTCTCCGCCTCTGTTGAGAAGAAAAATAGAAAAAAATATTTTTGGGGTAAAAACAACACAACTTGCAGAAACGTCACACAGTTAGGCCAAGAAGTATTTGGACAAGTAATTTGTATTATTTTTCCTCTTTTTTTTTTTAAATTAAATGTTCACCAATCATGCGATGAAAATTAAAGACATTCGGCTTTGATTTAACAGGATTGAATACCTCCATTTTTAAGGGCTGAATCATTTGGTAAATTGACATACTTGCAGATATAACCAGCATTTGGAATCTTTGAATGAAAATCATTTGCAGCCAAGTGACTGTCAGACGCCTCGAACGAGTGCACGTCACCGCATTGTCCAAACACTTTTGCAGCAAACTTTCACAAGCAAGAACATCATCAAACTATCGACTCACCTCGCTTGTTCTGCTGCCCACACATCTGACCGAAGCAGGACACTCCTGATCCCATCTTATCTCTGTTTTTCTGAATGAAATATGCAGAGGAACATGATTATTGTCGTTGTACTGGTCACCAATCCAGAACTCTGTAAACTTGGGTTATTCCTGATACTCTTCACAACCAACTGACAATTCAACACGCACACATACACACACAAAAAAAAAAAAGACAACAAGAGCATGCGATGGACTTGCAACTATTACTTGACAATGTAATGGATGCCTTACTAATGTTGTGCCACTCCCTGCTCAAGCCTTTGAACCAAAGTTAAATCTTTGACTCAAGATATGTAGCCAGAAAGATAATGTTGCTGATAAGACTGCAGGCTTTTGCCAGGCTTTCTTGTTTTTTTTTCCCCTGTGCAATACTTAGTGAAGCACCCAATGAGTTGATAATACCGATTTTGTTAAATATTTTTGGATGATGATATTGAGGACATTTTATTTCCTATTTATAATTTAAACCAAAAATATAAAACGTTGCAAAGTCTACATTTGGATTCTGTTCTTGATTTCCAAAGAGATAAAATCACGTCACATTCAAAATTAAATCAGTGTCATTTCAGTACTTGCATGATGACTTATGGTACATGGACAAAAAAAAAAAAAAAAAAGGAAATAATTATAAAACAAAAAAAGAAAACATTGTGTGCACTCACTTTGGACTTTCAGACCCCAACCTGGTACAGAGTTGAGAACCAGGTGGTTCTGCTGGATGAAAGACGGACGGGCAGAATGGAAGAAGTGGTGAGATTGGAGGCACCTAGTCAAGAATTTTGGTTCAAAAATGAGGAGCTGGGATCCGAGTGAGCCTCTTGGTGCAGAGCGCGTGTAAACAATGAGGCAATCTTTGGACCGGGATGGTGACACAGCACGGGCAGTAAAACAACATTTGCGATGAATGGCCATGGTTAATTAAAAGCAACAAACTGGTCTTGGCAGGTTGACACTTCGGGTGAGTGTGCACGCTTACAATAAAACGTATCTGTCCCATTACTGTTATCAGCATCATTAAAATATAATTTTATTTCTCTGGCAATCGAGAAACGTTTCAAATTGTCTTTTATGAGAGATGTACACCGGATAGATTAAGAGTTGGATTGACGTTGTTGATGATTTGTTGTTTCTTTGAATTTAATTAACCCGGAATAGGTCGGGATTCTGCGCTGGAGAGTTTTGACATGTTGCATATTCCGAAAAAAGCACATAGTATAAAATTGTGATGAATCATCATTCTTGTTGGAAAAATCAGGGACTCGTTTCAAGAGACACGTACTTTATACAAAATGAATTGGGATGTTTCAATGGCAACAAAGTGACAAAATCTCCCACATTCAATTCATAAACTGGACTGTACATATTAAATCTTGCAGTCACACAAAGGAGTGGCAAAACATAACACATTCAGAAAAACAACATTTTCAAAAATGGCACAAGGAGCATGTACAGTGTATTACATAAAAGATTTAATCTATTTCCTTTCTATGGGTCATCGTTAAAAATTGAGGCGCCTCAACGTTGAGGTTGCCATATTGTAAAAACATACTTCATTACGACTGCCATTTTAAAAATGTCTTGATGGCACACATGGATTAGTGTTAGCATCAAACTAAAAATCTCTGACACTCATTGTTTCCAGATAATTAAAAAGACAACACGCGCGCGCGCCACACACACAACACCATTAAGAGACTGAAACATATGTAGCTATAGCATTTAGAGAAACAATAAAAGGTAAAAAAAAAAAGAAAAAGAAAAGAGAGGAATATCACTTGGAACTTGGGAATGGGCTAAGAGGTAGAAAACCTCACAGCGGAGAAGCAAAAGAAAACGCATGGTGCAAAATATCGACAACAATGTTCAATCACAGTAAGGCAACTGAAGAAAGCATGAGCAGAACAAAACAAGAAATCGGGTTGGCCGATGAACTTAAGCGGAAACCTATATGGACTCTTCACATTTTTTTGTAAACCTGGAAGCTTTCCAACGGGTTTTCCTTGATTTGATAGTGTCTGAAAACGGTGGACTGTGAAAGTTAAAGACTATGTCTCCCAAATATTTCCTGTATGGAAGCATTATCGTTTATTGTTTACACACTCCGGCTCTTCGTAATTCATCACCAGTCTACATGTAAACCATCAGTTCGTAAACACTTCAAAATCAACTCAGAAGTTTTTTTTTTTTCTGCTGAGTATCAATTACACACACACACACACATACACACACACACACACACACACACACACACACACACACACGATAAATAACTTGTAACAACACAGCAGCAGCAAAAACTGTGCAAAAATCATGAACATATCCTTAGGAACATGGACACATAAAAAATAAATAGTTAAAAAAAAATAAATAAAACGTCTTTCCAAGCGTGACTTCACTTTGCATATCTATACGAGGAGTTTAAAAAAAAAATCATTTCAGTGTTTATATACTTTCAGTCGACTACTGATGAGATTGTTGTGTACTGAAGGGAACCAATGATCTTTCACGTTGTGGTCTGAACACTTCCAAATGGCACAAGGCACCTATTCAAGTCACCCAGTGGTAAAATGAGCTTTTCTTCAAATTTGATCACCTTTGACACCGTCTGAGGATGAAACTGATTGTCATCTTCATGTTACTCAAAAGCACCAGCGTGGACTTTTGAGCATTTCAAATGACTTCATTTGACACATTCACAGTTTTGGACTTGGAGTGTAAGGCATCAAAATTGGTGGCCAAAGCAGGCGGAGGCCTGGGTGTTTTTTTTTTTGGACATCACTGTGGAGATGGGAGTCCTTGAGAATATGGTGTGCACAAACAGCTAATGAGAGACATTAAAAATTTTAAAAAAGGCTGATTAAATTAAATGAAACATTTGAGGATGAGGAACACAAAGTGTGTTTGTGTGCCTTCCCAATGGGAAAGCGTACAAGTGTTCTTGCTAAGGTGCCACCAAACAGTCAATGACGTTGACGGTTGAGTAAAGTCTATTAAGGGGAGATTCAGTTCATTTGCCCTCTTCAGCTGATCTGGTTTCCGACTTGAGGCGCACAAATTCCTTGGCCACGTCATCGTTGGAGCGCTGCGACAAGATCCTCATGGCGGTGAGGCCTGTGTCGTCCATGTGGATGCACTGAGCCAGTGGGCACCAGCAGGCACAGTTGCCCTTCTCCATGATGTCTCTTAACTGGATCACCGATAAGCCCACCACCCGGTCGGCTCGGCCGAAGCAGTAGTCCTTGACGCACACTTGCAGCTCGTAGCACTCAAAACCATCCTGGTTTCCGAGGATGCTGTGGAGGGGACGAATGGGGGGGGGGGGGGGGGGGGGGATGCATTTATGCCTTGGGGCAAGTAACACGATTCCATTTTTTTTTGCCTTTTATTCATTCGCTGTCATTCCTTTCTTTATTAACCCTTTGAAGTACAGCGGTTACTACAGTGGACAGCTTATCATGCATGAAAGGGTTCAAAAGCTACAAGAACAAGAACCATGGTTCTACTCACAAGTAGAAGATCTCGTTGAACTTGGGAGACCAGCTGTTGTTCTTGGATTTGGTCTGGAATTTACGTTTCTTGTCACTGAGGTGCGGTCCGATCATGGTGAGCTCCACAAAGGGCCGGAACATTCCAGGGGTCTGCCACTTCAAATCAGTGGCTGCCACAACTGCAAACGAAGGCAAAAAAACCCCAAAACAAAACAAGTGAGCATTGACAGTTGATGGGCCAAAACCTTTTTTGTCTTTTTGAAATGCCATATGCCATTTAATGCCATCTGGTCAGTGAGTGCTCTGTGACCTTTGGCGGAAACTTTGCGTTCTCCACTTTTAGGATGAGTGTGGAGCTCAACCTGGACGGACACTTCTCCAATCGGGTTGGACACACCTGAACCTATTTGAATGCAAACACACATGGCGTATTAATGACTTTGCCCATTGAAAAAAACAAAAAAACAAAAGGATTTGAACTAGAGTCAGGATAAGATGTGGATGCTTTTTGAGGTTGTGTTAGTGGTCAAGCTACTCTCGTGGCACCTAATGACAACAAATGCATCATGACAGAAAGATGGGGGGGGCGGGGTGAGAGAGGTCACATGCTTTATGGCGATGAAACCTACCCCTGCTGGGCTGTATTTTTTCATTGGGAGTTAACCTAATACCCTTTCCATTGTGCACTAGCACATACGCAGCACAGGGAAATAAAGAGAAGACAGCAAAAAGAGTCAAGTGTGGGGAAACAGCTTTTAGAAAATGCCGACCAAATATAGACGTCATAGCATGTCTAAAGGTTAATTCGGGGGAAATCTTACTTCCAATAGCTCACCTTGTGCATGTTGACTGGTCACAAATGTCTTGATGAGTGTGTCCGTGGTCTGAGTGTAGAGGGACAGGGTGTGACGAAGTGAGGACAGCTCAGCACTCTTCTCCAGGAAGGCCTTCTTCAGACCATTCCCTCCTGCGTGGAAGTATTGCTGCAAAAAAAAAACAAAAACAAAAAGCGACCGTCAACGCTTATTTCCCCATGTTGTTGTTTGGTATGAACTGATACTGATGATGTCTGCAGGGGGCCATGTCACTATGTGGAGCGCACAGACATGGCAATGGGTTCTAATCAAAAGCACAGAGAAATAAATGCTTTCATTACGACTGCTTTTATTGATTCATTGATTGATACCAGGGATGGGCAACGTAAATGCTGAAAGGGTCTGCAATTTTCATTATCGCCACTAGAGGGCAATTTAGGATCACAAATTTCCGAACCAGATGAATGGGGGGAAAAAAATGGGCAAAATATGTGCGAAAACCCGTGTATAATTGAGACCCAATGAAATGCATTGGAAAAAAAAACCTGACCTTAATCGTGTCCAGTGCAACATCCATCACGGCACACTGCCTCGGAGACAGGCTCTTTGCCTCCCCCGCCATATGATCCTATAGAAAAAGGCCAGTCAGACTAGTCTAAAAACAAAAAAAAGTCATCACATTGAGTCAGTATATCAGGAGGAGCCTTACTTTGAGTTTGGAAAGTTGACCGAGCTCTTTTGCAGCTGAGAGTATCTGCGCACCCTGAAAAATATGCGCGAGATGCATTTTCTTGTCAACCGCAACTCAAATAAATCAGCATAATAACGCATTCTAACCAAATGCAAATCATACACTTACAAAGGTGTCATTGCCCTGGGGCAGGACAATAGTCTTCTCCAGATTGGTCATCACAATCCTCCACAGTTCCTTGAGCACGCGTTTCAAAACAGTCTTCTCGCAAATGGTAGCAAACAGCGTCAACCTGCAGAATCGAGGCCATGCAGGAAAAACTGATGAAATGTTTCGGCCCATTACGGTGATTGTACTAGGAAAGTGCAACCACTTACTTCCCATCCAGGAAATCCATAAGTGGCCGGAGCATGTTATCAGAGTCGGCCTCCACTTGGCTTTTCGTGTTGGCGTTGAGCGGCCCTTTTATCTGGTATAGCAAAGACGCCATCTGACGCACGCAGTCATTGATGCGGCTCTGGAAACTGGAAGCGTCACACGGAAGTCGGCATCGATGCATGTTGAATCGAGCGTGAGGCCTACGTGTGTACTTGGAAATGTAGGCGGGGGTTCTACCTGTTCCCAAATGTACCGCTGAGCTCATCCAGCACGCTGTTGAGCTTCACTTGCAGGTTGTTCAGCAGATCACTTGCCTCAGTGTCCATCTGCAGAAAGAATAGACACAAAACACTCAAGTATTAGCTAAACGGAGATACGGCACACATCTTCATAGACTAGTTGAAAATAATTCAAAAATACTGCTTTATTTTACAAAACATTTCCATTTGCGGGAAGGGAAAAAGGAAGAGGAAAATGTCTCTGTAGCATAGCTAAGCTGGCCATCCAAAGGCATCATCTGAATAAATGTGTTTTTTTTTTTTTAAATCATGGCCTGGCAAGAGTTACTATGCAGGGCCACTGAAGGAATATGCAAAAGTTTTTTTTTGCTCGGCGGCACTGAGGGAAGGCTTCAGGACGGAATGGAAGTGACAAAAAGGATCGACGTGCTTCTTACCTTCTCTACTGGAGTATCCAGCTTAATGTGGTAGCAATGTCAGACAATGGTTTAGTACATCAATAAACACTAATCATTTCAAAAAATATGCTGCAAGTTCATCATATTGACACCCACCTTCTCCCTGTCAGTCTATTGCAAAATATAATTGAGAGGGGGTGAGGGTGCAGAGATAAAAAAAAAAAAAAGGCAAAAAAACGTAGTCAGCAAAAACTCTTCCAGAGGAAATGAGTGAAGCGATATTGGGAAAGGCCTTGGAACAGACTGACTAATGGCTGTTGTCACCAGAAATGATATTACACACACACCCGGTGAAATTCCACAAGAGGTTTAGCTGTCAACGTACTAATGATGTTACTGGGAGCAGAAATAGGATGGAAAACAATTCACGTGAATGATTTGGGCGACACTTAAGACCGCAACAAACCTCAACCTGAATTTTGTCCCCTTCCTCCCTTATTTCCTCTTCTTCGTCCTCACTCTCCGCAAACTGACACAGAGGCAGTGAAAAGATGATGTTAAGTCTCAATGCCAAAACCAGAATCAAAAGACGATGATGCATAGGGGGGAAAAAAGTCATGTAATTTAATGCAAACATGGATCACAAACATGTTTGCATATGCAGTACAGTAACTTGCCTGACACGCTAGCATTCTATTGTTGCACTATTGGGGGGGGTGACAAAACATCATGGTATCTCCATGGAAGTGGTGACAGCCTGAATAATGAGGAAAGCTTAAAAAAGGTCTTCATTTGAAAAACATTCCAAATGAATTAAATCACAAGGACCCCCCCCAAAAAAAAAAACGTTACAAATGTCCACCATCAATCACTGATTTACTGTACGCAGTCCATTCACTGCTCACGTCATTCGATACACCCGCGCAATTCAGTGAGATCCAAGACCAGAGCTATATCAAATGAAAATATGCCTAATTTTTGAATTGGATTTAGAATCCACACTTCTAACTGCAAACCCCAACCTCAAAAATGAACAAATTGTTCAATTGAACTCAGCGCCAATCAAAAATTAGCAGTATACAAAGGCTTTTTTTTTTTTGTACAGCCCTTATATTTAATTTCATTCAACTGAGCAAGGGTACTTAATGAAGTGGCTCACCTGTCTCCATCTTGACACAAAATTTGAAACTAACGGCAAAATCCAATCTGGCGGTCTCTCGAAAGGATCGTGTGAAAAAAAAAAAACGTTCATCGCCCCCACATCACAGCGCAGTGACCACAACTAATTTTCTCACACATGACGTACACGAGTGCCATCACTACGTTCCACTTACTCCAAATAAGTCACTGTGTCTATCTGTCAATCCGACCACAACTATTTAACAACTACGCACAATACACACCAGAGCCACTACGTCCGCATGAGCAGTGATCACCTGCTGTTTAAGACAGACAAAAGTGGGACAAGACATTTTAATTTCCTTTCTGTCATGGCCACACAGTGCTGACAACCTACCTCTTCTTCGGCTATTTCCTCTTCCTCCTCCATCAACTGCTTTTGCTTTAAAAGTAGATTGAACACACTGGTTGAAATCAAAATGGCTGACCGACTCGCTTCGAACTGACCACTGCAGCCACAAGAAGCTCTACATTAGAGAACGACACTTGCTAGGGATTCAAACAGGAAGCCAAAACGAGATGGATGTCGACCACAGTCCGTCCTACAGCTACTGTATGTACATGTCGAACGCAAAGGCAGAGGAAATAATCTCAATATCTTTTTTCCACAACAAGAAATTCCTAAACAGTATTGATAAAGAGCAACGCAACCATATTACTTGACGCATACTGTTCGTAGCAACGATTGCTCTGTGGTAAGACCTAAATCCTACATGTCTTTTCCCGTTTGACTCAAATGTGTTTGGCATTTGGGAAATGCTTCGTTGTTATGACAGAGCAGGAGGGCGTTTTATATTGAGCGCCATCTCAGCCACGTACCTGTTTGGCACCCATGCACTCAAACATCTTCTCCAACAGGATTCGCAATTGCTGCACGTTATTCATCAGGACGCAGGGCTGCACACGAGGAAAGACGTGAGTGCGATTACAATCATGGACTTGAGTCGATTCCAAATTTTGCAGAAGATTATCATAGTAACAATCCTGATTCATTTTTTTAGTAAAATGCCCACTTACGATTTTCTCCTTGTCAACGTAGGAAGGAAAACTCTTGTCAAGAATGGCACTGTACTTCAAAAGAACTTTGGCAATCGTCTGAAAAGATGAGGGAAGGAAAAAAAAAAAAAGTAAACTTTTCAGAAAATGAAATTATATCGAGAGATTTCCTGCCAGCTTCTCAGACAATATAATCACAAACAATCATTACACAAGGGTATCATGTTATAGTTTGAGGGTAAAAAAGTGTCCTAAAATATTCTTATTCATGCAAGAAAAATACCGCTGCACATTCTCTCCCCAATTGGGACACTGGCCGATCGAAAAATGGTTAAAAATAAATGAATCATATCTCAAATCGCTTGAAAAATGCATATGCCGTAAAACTGAACAATGTCATAACATGCAATATGCGGTTGCCGAGTTGAAATTCAGCATGTGATAATAAAATAACGGTTTCCTACTTTGGAGAAGCGGCGGCTGTATTGTGCCATGACATTAGGGTCGGGGCATTCCAGTTTCTTGATGATCTCAAAGCTTTGGTTGAGCTGGGTAAAGATGTCCACCACAGAGCAGGAGAAGAGAGCGTGCTCAGACGTTTGCTGGAACTGCAAGATTCCGCACGAGGATTAGAAGTTTCTACTCAAATATTCCGAAATGGTTCTGCGCCCTCTTACCCCATCTTTTTTGTCTCTCTCAAGGGCTCCGTGCATAAATTCCATTGATACATCCTCATTTTCATCCAACCACTGCAGCACAAATGGCAAGAACCATCTAGACCGAGAAAAAAGTTTTGTTTTTTTTCTTCCTGCCGATAACTTGTTTTTGCATTGCCCAATCAGTGAATTGATTACTTACGATGGGTAATCTGGAACCACATCTTTGAAGTTGGGTAGCTCCTTGACATATTCATTGTACAGCCATTTCACTTTAAAGTGCAGGTTCATGTAGTCAGTACTTTTACACAGTCTGTTTTTTTCATGTTCTGGAGGAGGAAAAAGACAGCAAGTGTACAGATGCTTGATATGGTGGCATGAGAATTCAACAGGTGAGAAGCAAGCGATGCAAAGTAGTGGGTCAACAAGAAGACAGGATAGAAACATGTCAATGTTATCCACAGAACCATTAACTTGCTGTATTTTTTCCAATTTGATGGGAACTTCATTGGCCAGGAAGCTCTTTGAAACCAAAGACATTTGAAGTAATGATAGTGAGACACACACATTTTATCCATCAACCAATTTGCTTTTGTGCTTCTCCTGTTTGGGGTTATGGAAGGCCGCGGCCTGTTGAAGATGACTCTGGGTAAGACGTAGAGCCAAAAGAAGGGAGCACTATTTTGATTCTTTAATGTGCGAAACAGAAATTTTTCTCCTGCCGTGGTCCACATGAGAATATATCTTGGGGACATGAGCTCAATTATGATATAAAAGCTGTCACACACTTTGGGGAATGGTGCGGCTTTGCTATGCGGTGGAAAATTGCTAGGACACTCCTGGGATAAATGCCTGCGCGACTGTATTCTTTGTTGCTTTTATAGTGTACTTTCTCGTCGAGAACTTCGGTTCTCCGCACTTCCTTTTTGGCTGTTGTTGAGTAAGTCCATCCGTTACGAACAATGTAAGTTGACCAAACAGGCGTCAAATGAGGCCACTGGCTGCGTATGTTGCATCGTAAGTACCAAAGAAGATAGCGTACTGTAGTCAAATTAAAATATTTATCTTGCCGAAACTGTGAATCATGATATAGCAAATCGAGGTAGCATAACTTTGCTAATCAACCCCAGAGTCACGTACCTTCCATAGCATACTTTATGTCTTGCGCAAACAATGTCCACATGACTTCGGCTGACACCTTCCCGACATTCAATTCTTGAGGAAACCTAGAATGCATATCAAGTAATGTAAGCGACGAATAGAGGAATTCGAATCAATTCTGAGACAAATTGGTTAGACACTAACTGGTTCAGCACGGGGGTGTAGGAGTTCCTGTCCTCTTCAATGATGGAGACAATGAGCATAATGAGCTTGGGCCAGAAGTCCAAGTTCTTGATACTCGGACCTTGGTCCTCCAAAGAGACCTCTTCCTTGCTCTGAATAAAAAAATAAATAAATAAAGGCCACACTTAACTGTCACTACGGAGACATTCCGGATCATTGCATTACAAAGGACTATAATCAATGTGTGACTCACCATTTCCGCAGGTTGGTACTGTTGGCTGTACAGATCATGGCAGTTATTGAAGATGTAGTCATAGGTGGAGTTGAGACAAGCCTTGACACAGTCTCGAACAACTTGGCTGGCTCTCGGTGGAGACTGTAACTCCTGGACCTGAACACCATATGGTGTAAGCAGCACTGGCAGTGAGAATACCTCACACAAAACCATGTTCAGTTTCTTTTTTTCAGCCTATATTTATACATTGAACTTAAACTTAATGCCCAAAGAGTTCGTCAACAATGTATAAAGTTGAACAATGGACAGATAAAACTGTGTGTGAGTGCCCGCCACTTACCTTCATTCTGAAGAATGTGATGCTGGTTAAAAGATCCACGGTGGATTTTAAATCCTGGAGGCGATCCTTGTTACTGGCAGGGAAGTGGTTCTATAAAAGAAAAAAAAAACGTTTTTGATGTATTTTAGTTGAAAGTAAATCCGTACTTCACTAAATGTGCTACGTAGCAACATTGGAGAGGAAATTAAGTTTTATTTGGTATGGTTTCAAACAAATGTTGCAATGCATTGCTTTGTCAGTTTGGACATGCAGACAGTCAAATAAGGTGGAAAAGAACCAAAAAGACACGGAATTATTTCTTACCCTGTAGGTAGAGAGGTCAATGCGCAAGGAGTTGTGCAACTGGTCGAGAAGCTTAATAAAGCGTTCTTTCTGGAGAGGAGATTGTATTGAGGGTTTTTAGAAGAACACGTACTGAACATAAAAGTGTAAGGCAAATCAACACTGGACGCAGCTGAAACTGAATAGAAAGTGAAAACATACACCGCTCACAAAATGTTTGGGATATTTTGCTTTTCAGGTGAAATTTATTTACGGATTCATAGAAACAAAAGTTTCTCAGGTCATTGAGGTTTTGGGGTGCAGAGTTTCAAGCCTCCATACGGCGACTCAGCTGATCCCACAGGTTTTCAATTAGATTCAGGTCAGTAGAAAGTGCAGGCCATTCCATTTGAGGTGCACCAGTCTCCCATAACTGTCCCCAGCTTATTGATGTGACTTCAATAAACTGGAGCATTGTCATCTATGAAAATGAAATTAGGCCCCTGATGTTCATGTATGGGCACAATCACTGGATTAATAATGTTGTTCGGGTCGTATGGGCTTTTGACAAAGCATAGGGCAGTTCTGTACCGTCTGGACACACCTGCCCACACTGTAACACCGTCACCACCAAAAAGCTCGGCTGGTGACAACAGTGGCAGATGCAAAGCGCTCTCCTTGACGTCCCTAACATCGTGTTGTCATCATTTCTGCTCAACATGAATCGAATTTCATCCGAGAACAGCACTGAGGCCCACTGATCCCTTGGCCGGCGTAAATGCTCCCTGACCCATGCAAGACGATGACGCCCGTGTCCAGTGGTGTGGTTAGGTACCCTTGCAGGTGGTCTAGCACACAGACCACACTGACAAAAACGTTTTGGTTTCATGGTCTGATGTGACACTTGGGTACCTCTCATCTCCCTTCAACGTTCCTGGAGTTGAGCGGTGTGCTGATGACACTCTGTGACACTCTAAGCTCAGTGGCCACTTCCGTCTGAAAACATCCTCTTTGAGGTACTGTTGATCCATTGTTAGGTGTCGTTTTGGTCTCATGATGTCATAATGTGAACAGTATGATGTTGACTGTTTAAACACCAGCTCTAATTGAACCAGAACATTTTGGTCAATTCAAAGATTAAAATCCTGTTGTGAATTTTGCCGTTCAGCTCCCTTTATTGAACAGCAACTTGTGCAAAAAGTACTGAAACATTTAACAGTCGGACTGGTGCATTAAAAAGCTTAGAGAGGGTCACATTAAGTTCACCTGTAAAGTTTTGAATGCATTTTAGGCTCGTCCTGATATTTCACCTGAAAGCCAAATGTCCCTAACTTTTTGTGAGTCGTGTACCATATTTTCCTCACGATAAGGCACTTTGGACTACAAGGCGCACTTTCAATGAGTGGCCTATTTTAAAACGGTGTTCATGTATAAGGCGCACCGCATTAGAAGGAGTAGAGAATAGAAGCGACAATAATGGCTGCGGTTGCGTTATCCATCCACTACATGGAGCTACGCTAAAGGGAATACAATACAGCTTTATTTATATTGCACTTTCACAACCGCTGCAACTGTAACAAAGCGCTTTACAGACCCTTTAAAATACTACGTCCAAGAACTCTGAATATTGATCCATATATAAGGCGCATTGGATTATAAGGCACACTTGAGAAAACCGAATGCTTTTAGGTGCGCCTTATAGTGCGGAAAATACGGTATTTGTGTCTGTGTGTGTCTGTACAAACCCCAAAATTGGAGGCCGCAAAACGGTCGGAGGCGGACACATTGGTGGAGGCGGTTGTGTGAGCGTAGAAGGCGTTGATGTTGGCGAGCAGCGTACTCATCACCGCAGGAACCCCGGGGCACATGTATTTAGAAGACAGGCAAGCAAAGTGCCTGCAAATAGCAGTGTACGAAACTCATGACAAATTCAACGCTAAAGCATCTTACAACTTTGATTCATGCTCAAGCCTGTCCGCTATCCGTCAAGGGGTTTGTTTCAACACAAATATCTCCATCATTAATTAGTCAAGCCATCGTGCAGAAGAAATCTGGCAGCATTAGGCTGACGAATGAAAGCTACCAGGAAATGCAGTCACCCTACAAATAATTTACAGAGTTTTAATTCATTTTGGAGGCTAATATTCAATGCCGAGGAGGGATGAACTAAATGTCGGGTAAAGTGATGGCACATTTGTGATCTCAAACGTACGTCATGGCCTGGTAAATTGATTCGATTCCGTAACGCATGGCAAACTCATCCACGATGTCTTGTGGCACGTCATCAAAGTAAACTTTCCATGCGTCGTCTCCGCGTGCCTCTGGGATTTTCACCACACCATGTCCATGGATATCTGTAGAGTGGTGGAACAGGTTCTAGATGGAATAAAAAGCGTTAAATTCATTAGTCGTCATTGTATGCATGTTGTATTGTGACATTTCATTCTTAAGAAGGGAAAAGGTGGAACTGTTCTCAACTGAAAGAAGACCATTGGGAAATACAGTGCAACCCAAAGCATTTCAGCGCATGAGCCAAGTGTAATCATCGGGTTCAGCTAAGTGACAAATATGACAATGTTCATGTACTCAGGAATGGAATGCTTCTACTCTGACTTTAGTTGGAACTTCTCCCAAACTGTATTGGACCACGGCCACATTTATAGTCACCAACAACTTCTTTCATTTTCGGTTAAGGGCCCATATGAGAAATGAGTCTTTTTCCTGGAAGTTATGTTTGTGTGTGTGTGTGTGTGTGTGTGTGTGTGTGTGTGTGTGTGTGTGTGTGTGTGTGTGTGTGTGTGTGTGTGTGTGCGCACGTGATGACCCAACTTGCTTGACTTTTTTTCCAAAGTAACTTGAGTCTGAAGGTTATGACTTGAGATCTGAATATATGTGACTTACTCCCACCTCTGCCACTAAATCAGCTATAAGTGCAAAATCTAATGGGCTTTAATTGCAAAGGTTTTACCTGCCCCAACAAAAACAACAACAAAAAACTGCCTTTATTTACAAAGGTAAATTTCATGTTTGACTGACACTCGCAAGAAAGACAAAAACTGATTGAACATCATTTTCTTGAAGTTGTAATGAAGTTCGCTTGTGTGAAGTTGCTAAGGATGTGAGCTGTGTGTGCAGGTTTGTTGTTTTGACTCCTCAAACAAGCATAGAGAGGCAATACTAGTTCCCAAAAGAGGTGTTGCAACAAGGTTGTGCGCGGTGACCTTTCGAAAAGCTAAACAAATCGAATGTCCTGCAGGCGGTGTCCACAATGTACTACTGAAGTCTTTTAAATTGACCGTCTGCTTTGTGAATGATTAAATTACCTCATGCAAACAGGTATACTGCACATGGTATGGCGCCACCTTCTCTTCCCCCTTGATCTCTACGTTGATTTGTAGGCGGATAGCCCCTGACACGGCTGACTTGTCTGTCCTCTTCTCTGTAATTTAACACAAAACTAGGTCAGATAAAACAAATGTGGTGCCAGACGAAAACCTGGTTAACACTCAGCCCTTCAAAGTCTATTTGCATGGCCTGTCAGTGGTTCCACTTTGATGGAGCTGTTGCTTCTAATAAAAGCTCTCAAGAGTGAGGGTGGTGGGGATACAGAAGTGGTGGGCTGTATGGATCTGTGTCTGTTCACCGAAGACATGAGCGGGGGTTTTTCTGTAGGCGGAGCGCCTTGCGATTCGACCCTGCTATTTGCTCTGACAGGCTCACCATTAAGGGTAATTCATACATGTCATTGGAACGGTCGATTTCTAACTCGAGCATGGCTACTTGATAATCACACATAAGGAGGAGAAGGATGGCGGGGGGTGAGAGGTTTCTTGGCGTATTTTGGACCAGATGATGAAGAAAAGGAACATTTTGTTAAATGTATCAGTATTTGAATGACTTAATTTCTTTCTGCTCCAAAATCTTCTCACCACCTTAATTAAGCCAATATAAATGACATTAGTGAACCAGTGTCCTGCTAAGTTGGTTGAGTATTTTAATTTTAAAGCTCTGTAGCATGCCTGTTTTATCACAATTTCTTTTTTTGGGGCGGTGTGTGTTTGGTTCTATTGCACCGGTTCAGCCTTGAAACAGCCTGTTTAAGCCCTATTGGTCGCTTTTCCTTGACACTTTTTCAAGGCCATGTAGTGAGAGTGGAATCTTTCCTCTGAACTTCTCCCAACCTGGTTCGAGAACATAGGCTGAGGAGGGTCCGGACTTCACTGTGATCTGATTATCCGACAGATGTCGACCCTTCTTTAAGCGATGCAGCAAGTAACTCAACTGCACAAGCCCATTTTGTGGTTTTAAGCGAGCAAGAAAGCCGGCCGCCGTCGTAAAACTACACCATACATATATTGTGCTTTACAGCAACACTTAACCATATTTACAAGTTCATATGTACCAATTGGATGAAATAGTAAGGCTTCTGGTAATTTTTTTTTGCAAGTCGCAGGCACCCCACCGGGTCCACTCGAGTGAATGACAGTGAGCCGCGCAACTTCACACAGTACAAAAAAAAAGCACCAATTCAACAATCAATGTTCCTTTTTCTTTCAATGTACAGTAAATACACTGACCCAGATTGTACCAGACATCCATTTCTCCACTCAGTGTTCGGACTTCAATAATACTCTGGCCAAGGAAGTCATCAGATTCTCTCTTAAGACGTTGCTTGACTCTTGACTTGATGTCATCATCCTCATCCCACACCCGCACCTTGATTCTGTCTGACGAATTGTGGCATTCACTAATATAAAGGTAAATGAAGAAATCAGAATTAAATGCAAAAAAAAAAGTCTCAAATTCACTCATTTGGCCGGATTAACCAAGATAAAATTGTTACTCACAAGTGATATTTCTCCTCCCACACTGGATTGAGGTTGCCATAGATGGTCTTGGTCCTCTTCTTTGTCTTGCCCACCTGCACTGTGACATACGGATCACTGGATCCTGTCTTATCCTTTGCCTGAAGTCCTTGGGCACAAACAACTAGAATATTGGTGGATAAAAGATGAGGAAGAAAATAATCCATTGTCAGTTATTTCTATTGCATGACATGTTTTCATCATTTCTGGTTAAATTATTTTAGTTCTAGTTATGGGCCCACCTGTGATAGTGACCTTGGCAGACCACTTTGACGTACCATCTAGTACGCTTTGTTTGATTGCCTTCATCTGCTGCAAATGAAGAGTTTTGCTGATAATAAAAACCTCCCTGATAAGTTCAAAAATTTCAGGTTTGTTCCTTTCCCTGATCTTCATTCTGTCCTTCATTGCCATGATGATATTCTGAGTGCGGTCCTCAGCTCCATGTTTAGAACTCTTCTCGGCAGCGCCTAATCATGAACCAGTTGAAGAGTCTGTGAGGACGGAAATGTAAAGCGAAAATGGCAAATTGTACACATACTCACGTTGCAGACAGTCAGCATTCAGCAGTTCCTGACACTTTTCGTGACACTTGACACCACACTCTGAGCAGCGGACGCCTTGTCGCGCAATTCCCCACAGCAGCCCCTCACACTCATAACAATACGTGGGCGTTGTGGCGGTCCACACTTCAAAGTTATGTGGCGTGGTGCATGATATTGGATAGATCAGCGCTTGAAGGGTTTTCTTGTACACGTGGTTTTTCTGTTTTGTTCCGGAAGAAGAGAGAGAAAATAGTAGCGTTAACAGAATGATGGTGGAAACCCTTGACCTCAATCTCATTTTTGTCGAGCTCACCAGCTCCTCATCCTTGATGGAAGATCGCGCAGCCATCGCAGATGCGATGCCTGCCTTACGAGCTTGGACAAGGGACTGGAGAACAGGGAGAATGTTATGGCAATCGTTTGACAAACAGTATTTATAAACACAGATATTCATAACCCACAACCAAACCAAACTGTGAGAGATTACTAAAACGGAGGCCAGTGTTTTGAGGGAGGTGGAAGGTTTGAAAGGGTTGTCGGTAGGTTTGTCATTTTCCCCAGGTCATTACCCAATGGTCAGAAAGCCACTGTGAGAAATATTAGGTTAAAGGAACTACAGAAGTGAGGATTACGATGAAGTGTTGAGTTGGATATATAAAACAAAGAGCCATGAGAGTGTTAGTTTATTGGGGGTCGTTGTTGTACAGTTTGAGGAACGATACAAGCCCATAAACACATTGGCAAAATTGGCGATATGCCATTACAGAAAAAAAAAGAAATAATAATAACGATTTAAAAAAATACAGTGGTCACTGAAATAAACTGACAAAGGTAAACACTACAAATTTACTACAAATAAAGTTACAACAAGTTGGCAATGTTTTTAGCCTTTTAACCTACATTAAATTTTTGTTGCACATCCTTTTTAGGAGATCAATGCAATCAAATGACTTTGGTAACTCTTAATGAGCCTTACATGTGTCGTTATGTTGGAACTACTCTTGTGCAAATTGCTCCAGCTTTCTCAGGTTACTGATTGTGCCTTCGCCTAGATGTAAGTTCCGGCTCCTTCCGCGGATGCACAATTGGATTTCCATCTGGAGTGGCAGATGGCTAGGACAGAATGTTTTGTTCTTAGCCATTTGTAGGTGATTTTCACGGTGGGTTTGGGCCATTATCCTGGAATGTTGCTCAGACCAAGGTTTCTGACACAGGGAATGCCCCAGAATGCCCTAGTAGTCTCGAGATTTCATTATACCCTGCACAGACCAAAGACCGGTCGGAAGTAGAAAAGCAGCCCTGGAACATAACAGCGCCTCCTCCGGGTTTAATTTTAGGAACAGTATTCTGTCCTTGGAATGTTCTCGTTGACATGTAAATGTCAGATGATGTGACTTGGTTAAAAAAAAAAAAGGGGAAAAAAAAGCCCCAGCTTTGTTTAGTATGTCCCAAGCATATTGTCCAAGGGGCTTTACGGTTTTGCACGATGCAATTAGGCAATTAACACAACTGTCATGTTTTTTTTTTTTTTTTATTATTTCAGTGACCATAGTAAGTTTTTAATTCTTTAACACAAGGCTACCAAAAACTTTGCCCTTGTGTGGAGGAGTGAAATTTTTTGTGGGAAAGCATCTTTAAATAACACTGGTCAACAAATTTTTACTGAACTTTTCTTTATTGTTTTGCACTGATTTAGAATCTGCCCTTGTTTTTTTTCCCTAACACATCAGATTTCATTATTAAAAAAATAAAGTTAATAATAATAAGAAGAAGAAAATAGCTTGGGTTCAGCAACTGGTAGAGTTATTTTTGAAAAGCATAGCTCTAAATTACAGGACATGGCAAAATCTGTCTTGCTTAAGAGAAGCATTGTCATCTTAAAAACGTCAAACTCAAAATAGAAATCTCAAACATCTGATGTGCTAGAAAAAAGTAACGATTTTTTAAATCGTCATGAAAAAAAGTCATTTAGAGACAAAAAGACATGCTATCCAGTGTCATTGAAAAGATGCATGTAAATGCATTAATTTCTAAATCACACGAAGGCTCCAATTAAAGAGAAAAAAAAAACATGCGGTTATTTTGGTTAGAGGCAAGTCGTGTTTTGTTTATCCAACTTGATATTTTACTGGATTCTAATAACTTACCATAGCCTGACCAGGCAGATAGAATGCATTCAAGAGAGTTGTGGGGAATAGTTTCAGGTTTAAGAGAGGAGGGAGAGAAAAATTAGCAGCTTGTTTTCATATTCGTTTCAATGATAACACTAATCAAATCCCAAAACCAAAAATAGCTGGGCTCCCAAACATAAAAATGAACTCACAAAAGGTACAAACCATGCAGTCAAAAGACCAATAACATCAACAGGATAAACACACATGCACACAAACTAGACAAGTTTAAAAAAAATAAACAAAAAAAATAAAAACAGAAATATGCGTCTACTGACCACATCGCTAACCAAGGCGATAGGCTTCTTTTTACGAAGGTCTGGCATGCTGTCAATCCCATAAAGCCCCGGTCCACCACTGTTCTCAGACAAAAACAACACATTTGCGAATGGAGTATTATTATTATTATTATTATTATTATTATCATCCTTTAGATTAGAAAGGTACATCATTACAGCCAAAATCCAAAACGTAATGCACTTAATTTAATATAGGGCTATAATTCATAGACATTCAAACAAATGTTTCCAACGCTGTTTGACTTACCTTGGTTTTACCCAGGCTTGTCTTACACTGGATTCGTCATGACAAACCTGCGAGATTTAAAATATGAGTAGTGAGAACATTTGCAAAGGTTAAAGAATCCATTTAAGTTTTGAGATGGGGAGGAATGAAACATGCATTTGGTTGAGTTTCACTTTTCTGATTTTAGATGGAATACCACACAAAAACACAACCAAACAAACAAAAAACATTCAACTGTATAAGCATGTTTAATGATTAAATAAATAATGAAAGACATTTGCACAAACTATACATTTGTTGAAACAGTTTCACAAACATAGATTGATTCCTCACAGTCACCAAAATGATTCCACACTTTAAATTCGGTGGAAAGACGTTCAACAGTGTAATCCATCAATCGGTGCAGTGACAAGAGTTGATGTGGGGGGGCAGCATAAAAAGTAAAATGGGGCATAAAAAGAAAAATGTTTCAACTTTAATATGGAGTTAATAGAACTGGAGCAACCTGATCTTCTTCTTGCACTGTTTCTGTGGAGAAAGTAAGGAAAATCCCATGACTTTAAATCAAGATTGGCAAATGTGTACATTTTCAATGTGTGGCATTAAGATGCATTTCATTTTCAACACACACACACACACACACACACACAAACATCCATATACACCATATATATATATATATATATATATATATATATATATATATATATATATATATATATATATATATATATATATATATATATATATATATCTCAAATTACCTTTAATACCTGTCTCCTGAGATCGGAATCCTTGAGAACCTTGAGAACCACAAGACCCCTGAGAACCTTGAGTAGACTGGGACAGCCTCTGATGTATCTGCCTCTTTTCTCGAAGAATGCGCTGGAACTTCGCTATACGTGCTTTGTGATTGGCATCGGTAGGTTTTCCGACCTCCTCAAAGTTGTTGATTTCACTTGGAGAACCGAAGGGTACTTTGTCTGAACTGGGCGATGCATTCAATGGACTCTCACACTGGATGACCAGGCAAGAATTTGGTTGAAGGTAAAGGCTGGACGTTTCCAAATTAATTTGATATTCTTCTTTGCTTTGTAACACCTCAATATCCCTTCTGTTTGTTACAGTTGACAGAGTGTGGCCTGTCTGTTGGTGCAATGCTTGAGTTGAACATGACTCTTTCTCCAATATCTGTCCAAAATCCCTAAAGTCTGAGGCCTCACGGTCGTCATTGGTGGGGACACATGAAGTGTGATTGTTGGACACTTCTTCTGTATGACAAGCAGTGATGATCGACTCTGTTGCTTCATCGGCACATGTAATGAGGGACAGAGATGCTTCTGAGATATCATCTTCCAAATTGTCAGGGTTGAGCACGTCAAACTGTTTCAGCGCCCCCTTAAAAGAAGACCTAAAACTTAATACCGCCTTGCTAAAAGTTGGAATATCAAAACCCAACCTCGGAGAAATCTCAACAGAATGTTGTGACAAAGATTCTCCTCCATCATCTCTTGAGATGCTGTGATCTGTCCAGTCCCAGTCCCTCTCCAAACTCTCTGCTAATCCCAGTTCAAGAGTGTCACCAGATGGTGGATAGTCATTGCACAGTGAATGAGGCTCCAGGTGACCACCCTCACCGTCTGTCAACAGCTCATTGGAAAAATTCATGGAGGAACACTCTCCCTCTGCTTTTGCACAAGCATCCACGTCGTCGTACCCTGACTTCTGTGAGTAGGGGTACTTAACGGAACAGACACATGCCAAATCTGTTTCATCCTTCTGTAGTCCTTTATTTCTGTTGTCCAAACTAGGAGAACATGACGGAGAGTTGTAATGAATTCCAAAAAGTAATGAGAGGTGTTCAGAACTAGTGTGTGAAGAATGACCCGGTGTGCTGCTTTGTGTCTCTGTACAACAGTAGTCCCAAACATGTAATTCTTCACTGTTTGCAGAGGAGACTTCACCCTCACTCCAATCTCCCTCCCCACAGATATTGAACTGTTGATAATCAGCAGGCCACCTGCCATGCTCTGGGTCAGCACAAAGAAATCCTGCATCTGAGCAAGGACAGGATGACAAAGTGTGGTTACTTCGGTAGTCCTGACATTGATGAAGACAAAGGAGCTCTTGTTTTGCAGCACAAAGAACTTGTATATTTGAGCTTTGCAAGGCCATCTCCTGGACTGGTTGTTGGTTGGACTGGTGGGCAAGGTGATTGAGAGTCGATTGCTTGGAAGTTCTATGAGACGGTGAACCACCAGAAATATTTCCATGTTTTTTCCAATCAGGCGATAGAGCAGTGTCTCTCTTGAGAGGTGACGTTACAGCATTCTGTCTTCCCAGGCTTCCTCGCCTGGTTCTGTGTGTTTGAGAAACTGGACTACAGTGAGGTGCAGCAGAAGCTCCAGAGTATAACTCATCAATTTCACTTAGCACTGCATCAACACAACAAGACACTTCATCCACTGAACCTCGTACAGACGTTAGATACTGCCTCAGGTCTGATATTTCCTCCTGGATCTTATTTATGCCTTTCAGCTCTTTCAGGATATGATCCACTATATTATTCGAGCCTTGGTCCTCGTCCTGTTTAGTTTCCTCAATCTGGATATTTTTTATTATATGAGGTATCTGAGTATCTTTCACAGCAGAAATCCCAGACTCAGAATCAGAACAGCTGTTCATTCGTGATTGAGTAAAGGACTGATTGGCCTCCAGTCTGTTGTTCTCTGGTGGTATGTTGAAACTTTGTTCCACCAGGAGACCCATGGGGGATTGCGGAAGAACGTGAACTTCTTTTATGTTATCTTGTCCATCGAGGCGTCCTTTGGGGAACATCTCCATGAAGTGACGCTCTTGCTTAGCTATGTCCGCTTGAAAGAAAAAAACACTGCGATTCCACAGCAATACATCTTCCGATTAATAGAAGCAATCATCTTCTGCGCCTGGCAAGGTCAGACAAAAGAAAATCAGTTCTGTGATTATTAGCAAAATAGTAACAATACTAAAGCATTGACTTAAACTCGATGTTTGCAAGTATAACAAAATTCAATTTCCTTCAGAAAATTCAGAGCCAATATTTATTATTTTTTTTAATTGTACCTTAGAGAGTATAGACCAGAGTTCCGCAAACTTAGGATAGGCAACCAAAATGGGCCGTGGGTAAATTCTAAGAGTAAGACGCTGTAAACTGATGAGTTAATCATCAACAAGCTATGGCTTTTCAATGTCTCTTGTGTTCTTTACCATACATGTATGCAATGCAGATGCTGGGCAACACAAATTCTATTTTAATCTTGGCAGGTACCAAATTCCTAATTCCTAGGTCTTGAGACTAAAAAAAATACATCAAATAGGAAATTCCTGGAATAGACAATCTCCAATAGGGTTGGCGGCAGTGTACAGATACACTCTATCAGGCTCACAACTTGCATGCAGCTGCTTCGATCTCTGTAATTGCAACGCTTTGGGAACACAGCAATTAGATGACAAGTCAAATATCTGTGCTTCATGTCCTGTTTCAGCTATACCAGCTGCTTTCCTGGATTGCTCTGGTCCAACCCTTTTTCGATACCACAGTTAACATTGATCAGTACAAAAGTAAAAAAAATAAACATTTCATGGCATTAAGTATTCACAATTACCAACTTACATGAGCCAATCAAATGACATTTTGAATGGTGATTTTTTTTTAAAATTTATATGTCCAGTGATTCATATTGTGCTTACAGAAGACTCTGTATGAAACAATAACAATTAACATGTTACAGATAAATAAAAGACCTCATTCACGAATACATAAACAGTATAGTAATACTGAATTTAAGTATATAACTGTAAAATTGATCTGCAAATCTGCAACTTCAAAAATAAATAAAAAACCCTTACCTTCTACTGGGAGGTAGAAAAGTCAACGAAGAAGAACCTGATTAAGATTCATCACGGCGGATCCATTTAACTGAAGTGATGGTATCCTCCCCAGCTGTACAATGGATTTGTTGGTGTGCCCGGTTTAAAGACTATTCTTAAACTTGTTGAGGATTGAGTTCCCGCATTGATCCTACTAGATTGTTAAGTCAGGGAAAGCAGTTTACACATCACATGATAATGCCGCTATCCCGAGATCCCCCACCCTTTTGGATGCTCTCGCTGCTTTCTCACTCCCCTCTGGCAGCGCAATTCAGCACAGAGAAGATTTGAGGTTGAGTCTCAGTCTTATCGCTGTATCGGGTGCTGCCACATTTCTTATTTATATTCAGCGTCGCGTGTGTACTTCATTTTCCATGAAAACCTGTATGAGTATTCCATAATCATCGTGCAATAGAATCGAGAATACTTATTCTAATTCTTCTTGGAATTGAAACAGTTGAGTAATGGCTCAACTGTGTTTACTTGCCAAATTTCGAGACACTTTTACATCGGAAAATATCTTGTTCAAAAATGGCCTGAGCAAACATGCGTCATATTTTTAAAAAATAAACAATGAAATAAACGATCCAGACAAGTGCAACAATAAGAGTTTGAACATACTAAATTACTATCTTATAAAAATGATCACTGGAAAGAAAGTAGGTGTGTTGTTTTTTTTTTTTTCGTGCTGTGCTGATATTTCTTTTCAACTGAGCTTGAGACATTACCAAAAGTATTCCTTTGAGTCATAACGTCTGTAAGCCAGAGGCTGAGCTGCACTGCTCAGCCTCTGGCTTACAGACGTCTTTGTTTACAGAGTACGAAGTAGTTACGCTTCCTGCAACCTACCCCATTATGTATGGTGTGGAAACTTAAGTTTGAATCATTTTGCATTTTTCATGATACTTTTTATTTCATATTAACTTTTTTTTTTAATTCAGTTGATAATTTTTAGAGCAAGTACGATACATTGTACAGTAAAATGTACCCTCTGTTAGTCGAATACATGTACTGTTGCGCTGTCAAAAGAATGATGTGGGATACATGTAAAATTTTATCCTTGAAGGATTATAATGAATAATCATAAAATAATTTCGATGAGTATAGAAAACGGATGGATGGAATAATGGAAGAGGGAAATCTCTATTTGCAGTATGAATGGTAGAGGAAGAATGATAACATACTTGCATTAAAAAACAAAAACAAAAACAAAAACATACCTCCCGAAGTTGAACCCTGACTTTATTGATCGCTTTCAACCAACGAACTCTGGATGGAGAAAACGGTAAAGGTGACCCTTCATCATGAAACCTGGGACACATGAATTTATGAGCGTGAATAAGAGTGATTACAGGAGAAATACTTTTTTTTTTTAGGTATTCGTTAAACATTGTTGTTGAATAAAACCATACCTTTGAAGTTTTGAGAACACTTTCTCTGTTGGAGTTTCATTTTGCAAGTGTTGTCGCGTGTCGAAGGACGGCTGAGCTAGAACCTTTTGGCCAACGGCAGACTGTGCGTTGGTTGTCAAATGTCCGATTGAGGAGGGATAGATGCTCGTGCTGTGATAGGAGTGGAAGGATTCTTCGAGTTCAGAGCCTCCAGTGCTTCCGTGACCGATCTCACTCAGCTGAGAGCTGGTCTGACTCAGGTTTCCTGATGACCCAAACCGACTACTTTCTGCTGGACTAAATTGGAAAGGGAGGGAGATAATCAATATTAGAATTTAAAACACCAAAAACAAATTCAGACTCAATTAAAGAAAGACAATGTCTCTATCATTTGTGATTTCTGCATATTTCTGGATAGCTTGTCTAGCGGGGTTAGATAAGTGGGGATTGTTGTCGTAAACATTTTCCAAGCATGTTGCTTTTACATGTTCAATGCTGTTGAAACACTGATGAAATTCCTGAATTTGGAATAATGTTGTGATGTGTGAGCCCCACTGATCTACTAAGAATTACATGAAATCCGATTTGATCAAGGTTCTTTTTTTTTTTTTTTTTTTTTTTTTTGCTTTGCTTGCTCAAAAATCTTTCTAAAAACTAAAACACGTGTTGTATAGACACAACACACAACCTAAAAAAGATACCAAACCTTGAAGGGAGATTGTGGCATGTTGAAAAAAATTTGAAATAGAAATGTTAAATATATGTTAGCATTTGCATAAAGTGTTGCACATGCTTCTACCATGGCTCTTACAAGTTATAGATGCTATGTTGAAATTCTGGGAGTAATGCTCTTTAAGTCCTACTAACAACAATGAATACTGCTGATCACAATTACCTCTGCACATTTCATTGTTGTCATTTGACTGACTGCATTTTTTTTAAATTACGCTAAGCGTGTATAACACATGCTTAGCATAATTTAAATGGTGGGCAAAACATAAACAGCGATGGCAGTTGATCTATTACAATGATAAACTTCAATGAGTAACAAAGTACCATATTAAGAGTGGAGATTCAGCCACGTGCTAGTTACGCACGGCACTGACTCAATGTCGTCTTTATTAGACGTCTCCATGAAATGAGGAGATTGAAGGGCCTTGCCTCATGACCCCAAAACATTTCTACCTCCTCCAAAATAAATTTTAAATGTGGAATTTGAGAAGAGGGCAGCTATGTTTTGACAGCACTGTAAAAACAGATTGGAGGGAGCCCTAATAGTGAATTACAAATCACCAACAATTATAGATGACTTCAAATGAATTAAGAATGAAATATGCATAGGTGCGATTAATGTATCATTTGTATACATCTATGTAATTGTGACACTCAACTTGAGAGTTAGAAATCGAGAGTTGATAATTACCAGGATAGTATATTTCTATACAAAAGGGGTACAAATAATTCACAAATGAAATATGGAAAAAGGAAACCAAAGCATGTATAGTATCAACGATGAATATGAAAAACAAAAGGGACTCCCGTGCTCAAACACATTTTCCGTACAGATGCTGTCAACAATCAACAGCAAATGACAGTAGACAGAAAAAAAAATTCATTTGCTTTAGCAATTTTGCAGAAGCCCTCCAAAAGGATGACCTCAATTTGTAAGAAGAATAATTAAGAAACAATTGCAACAGAAAACGTTTTGATTCATGAATGGTCTGTCATGTACCGGCAAATTCAGCTTCTGAGCACATGGTTCATTCTGTGCTCTGGTTAATATTTTCAAGCAGTACCCTCAATTCTTGAAACGCGGACAGGTATTAATTGGGTGCTTGAAATGTCAGTTTAAGAAGTCTGGCAAAATAAAGGAATGTGATATGAGACAATTTGAAAATGTTTGCCAAATTAAGGCACAAATGATCAACCCTGCTGAGCCAAAGCGATAGGTTACACATTTACCACAGCAAGCACGGGCTGCAAACACGAGTCAAGAAGTAAAAGATAAAAGAAGTCATTTTGGCATATTCCTTCACAAAAAAAAAAAAAAAATGCCAGGGAACGTTATCTTTTCGAGGGAACATGGTGTTTTCTTTTTCCTTCCATGTCACCTTAGGGGCTCCGAATTATAATGCTCAAAAATAATAAAAGTAAAATGTGTTTGACCTTGGAGTCGTGTTTTACAATGATATGAATATTTCCTGTACTTAATTTAAACAAAGGCTAGTTACATTTAAATGACAGGCAGGGAGGGTTCAAAGCAGAGAGTGTCTTTTTTTTTTGGGATGTGGAGTGTGCAAAGCAGAGTGTCTTTTTTTTTTTGGGATGTGGGGTGGGGGGGTGTAATTACATCATAAATGGTAAGGAACAATGCCATTTACAATGCTTTTACTAGCCTTTTTGAATTCAACAGATTCCTCTTTGATGGGTTGTCCAATGGCTCTTCATTAGTAGTACCTGCAGAAGGGGTTGTTTCTACAAGCATTTTGGTATCTTTTAAGGTCAAGAATGGTGGGGAATCTAGTTCGGGGCTGGAAATGCATATCTGGGGTTTGGCTACTTCATCTGTGGAACCTACCGATTCACCTTTTGGGGCATCAGATGTCAAAACGTTTTGCACTTGAGGCGTTTCAGCACTTGTTGGCTTGCTACTATTCTTTGGCTGAGATGTTATTACTGAGGGAGTGGCTTGCTTTACTGGTTCTGTTTGCCAGGGAAATCCTATCTTTGTCCGAAATAATGAAGGAGTAATATTTTCTTCTTGAAAAAGACCTCCAGATAATGTTTTTAATCCTGAAAAAAGAGAACTGCCTGCTTCCGTTTGAGGACTTGCTGAAGAAGCAGATGTCACTGCAGGTGAAAATAAAGATCCAATTGATTTTCCTGCATCACTCTGTGTTGATATGAAACCGAACAAAGACTTTGCTTGAGCTGGTTCTGCATCTTTTTGAAAATCATGAACAGGTTGGGCTGTATTTGAATTCTTTTTTGGGACAGATAAGTCACCTTCACATCGAGACTGTTCCTTGGTGAGAATGGGGTTCTCTTGAATGTTTTCCATAACGGTTGACATTTCATTCTTTGTGTCATCAATTTGGGAAACGAGTTCACATTTACTTGTGGGCGTAGTGGTGTCTGGATGAGCAGCCTCAGGTGACACTTCATTGTTACTTGCAATGATGTTGGATTCCTCCTTAGTGCAATCGACTTGATTGGAGTCGACAACTTGATTTGAATCTGTCAGAGTACCATTTGTTGCCAAATTGTCTTGTGTAACACATGGTTGACGGGTAGTAATAGGTTTTGGTTTCTGCTCATTTAGCAGTGATTCTGGCGTCTTGTGTGGCTGTCCCATCCCTTTGAATGTAGCCCTCTCATTATCTCCAAGAACTGTTGTTGTTCCAGTTTGTGATCCTGCAGCTAATGTAGCCCTCTCATTATCTCCAAGAACTGTTGTTCCAGTTTGTGATCCTGCAGCCGGGGCCGTGAGCCCTCCAAACATTCCTCCAAGGAAAGAACCACCAGACTGTGCTGCTGTGGCAGTCCCTCCAAACAGCCCACCCAGTAATGGCCCACTAGTCTTTGGAACACTTGGCTTTATCGTGGCTTGTCCACTGAACATTCCAAAAATCGACCCTCCAGAAGTTGTTGCACGACTGTCAGTGTTAGACTGGGGATCAGGGCCCTTGTTTAAATTTCCAGATACATTTACACCTGAGTGGGGAGGTGGTGACTGAGTAGTGGAAACACCAAAAATACTCCCAAGTAGTGAAGCTCCATGTTGGCTAGCAGCAGCTTGGGGAGCTAATCCTCCGAATCCAAAAGGCAAGCTTTTCTCTTGAGGCTGAGGCCCTGCATCAGAGGACATTACTGGTTTAAAAAGGGAGGACATAAAGCTTGTGACTGTTTCTGTTGATGAATTCCCAACTTGTTTGTCCGCCGCTGGTGTCTTTTGTTGCACCTCAATCATAGGTGGAGGTAACATCTCCTCTTCATTTTTAGGTGGTGTTTTATCTTCAGTAGACTTATCTTTTATAACGGTAGTTGCTGCAGGTTCTTGCTTTAGAATACAAGTTTCATATTCAGCAGCATTATCTGCTACTGCTGGTTTGTCTGTTTTATCACAATGGTCATCTATGT